TATCATTTTTTCCATTATTTAAAATTGTATGTTCTATTTCTTGTTCTTTTAATAAATCTTTCTCTTCTTCTTCTTCTTCTTTTAATGGTGGAGTATCTCTCGAATTATTTATTAATTGATCTGTACCAATGTTGTTTGATTTTTTATTAGCTAATATAATTTTTAAAGCTTCATCCTCTGTTATAGAAACCATATTATTAAGAGCAGATTGTGATGAATTAAATGAACCTAAACTACCAATTGAACTAGCAGTTTCAACTTCATCAAAATTGTCACTGTCTGTTATTTCTGTAGTTATTGTTTTTGCAATATCTACTGCACTAAATATTGGACAAGATTTCATTGGTGGTGACCATATGCCTGCTAATAGAAGAGGAGTATTCGACCAAAAGTTTAATAAGCTACTATTACATGCAAGTTCAAAACATATGTGATCTAAACTTTCAATTAATCTCTGTGCAACTTCCACAAGATCTGTATCTCTAATGAATGCAGATCGATTATAATATGGTTTTAAAGCTGAATTATCTCTTTTAATAGCACCAAAGTAACTAGCTAAAAGACCTTCGTTTAAAGCTAATCGTATCCAAGCTCTGCAATATCCAACTTCTGTGGTAAGTTGACTTAATGTTTGTATTTGAGCTATGATTTGTCGATGAGAGAACACTAACAATGGACCCCAAAAACTTGGTTGTGGCACTGCATTGAAGTCTGGACCACTTAGAACTTCTGTTACTCGATTTAGAAGGCTGTCTTTTAAACCGTGTAAAAAGATAGCTTCCAAAACAGAACATAGGGTCATACTTTCGTCGCAATTGCCAATTGTATTGTTTTCTTCTATTCCTGATGCACCTTGCATTTCCATCACGCAAATATTTAATTGCTTTTGCAGTGATTCTCTGATTAAGACAATTCTGTTGTTTGTCATTGAATTGACAGTTTTCAAAAATGAATTCATCTTTTTGAATTTGATATTCTACAATAGTCGTGTTACAATTTCTTTTTTTAAGCATCTTCGCGATTATAATAGAAAAAAGTAAAATTTAGAAGGTAATTTGATGGAATCATTAACCGCACTATTACGACGTAGTACGTATTACGTAAATTATGTTGGTATAATTCGAACATTACGCTGATACTGACAAAGAAACAAGGAAGTACTGTCAGAAGAAATATGAATCACACTCCGATAAGAATGGCACGCGAACTTCGAACCAGTAATAATCCATGTCAACGTTATCTCCTTGATGAATATGTAAGAAATAGGATACACCAAACAAAACAAACAATTTAAAAATCTAATTTCGTAAACGTAAAAAATTTTAAACACTGCTATAAATTGATGAAAATTGTGCTTTTAATTATAACAATATCTTGGTATTTTCTCACACTTAAAATATTTCTTTGTTTCTTCTAGATTATGAATCAGCAACATTTATATTCGAACTTTTCTTTAACAGTAGTACATATCAAAACGATAGATTGCGCTGTGATATATATATGGACCAATGTATCAGCAGGTGGTGACTTAATGATATGTGAAAACGTATTGAAAATTATAATATAAATATAAATCTAAATCTAAAGTTATTTGAACTAAATCATTACTTAATACATTGATATTAAAATATCTTTAATAAAAGAAATTTTTAATTAAAAAAATTCTTAATATAAAAAAGGTAAGTTATTTAATATTATTATAAATTAATACAAAATAATTTTTTTATAAAATTATTAAATTATATTAAAATTATTTTTATAAAATAATTTAACTTAAATTTTATTTATATTCTTATTGATTAATTTCTTGGTTATTTTTTAAAAATTATTTTTTTAAAAATATTATTTTTAATTTAAGATAATTATTTTGAATTTTTTACTTTTTATTATTTTATAAAACATAATTTTATAATTTTTCAATTTAAGTTATCTTTTAAAAAAATATTAAATTTTGAAATATTATATAAATGAACTAATATTTTGAATAATACTAAAAAAATGAATTGATATAATATAAATTATCATATATTAAATTTAAGATTAAATATTTTTTTGCATTTAAATGCAAAATGCATTTAAAAAATTACTAATAACATGTTAACATGATAATTATGATTGTTAAAATTGAATTAAAATATAATTATTAAAATATATTAATAGTAGTATACAGAAAAAATAAAAATATTTAAAATAATATTAATATAAATTTTAAAAAGATATATTTTTAATAAATAATTAAAATTAATATAATAGATTACCAATTAAATATTAATAATTATACTTATAATTTTAATTATATATAATTATATTATAATTTTTATAATAAATAGTATACACACACCTGTAGTACATAACATACATATATATTTTTTAATAAATAAAACTTATATAATAAAAAATATAATAAAAAAAAATAAAAATAAGATTTATATATTTACAATTATATAAATATTTAAAAATTATAAATATATTAAATATTCAATATATTTTTTAATATTTTATATTTTTATTGATGTTATTATTGATGATTTTATTGATGATATTATTTGATGTTATAATATTGAATAATATTGAATTTTACATAAAAAAATTTTTAAGTAACAATATTTTTTAATATAATATTTTTTAATTTCAATATTTTATATAATATTTAGATATTAAAGAAATGTATAAATATATTTTTTATTTAATTTTGTTAGTGCATTTATCTATTTTATTTTATTTTAGTAATTAAACATATGTTTTTGAACATAGTGAATAAGATATTTTTTAATTATGTAAATAATATATTTTTATAATTATGTATTATGTAAATTCGTTTTATATAATTTCTTATTAAATTTCAAACTATCGATAATTTTTATATACAAATTATATATTATTTCTTGACTTAGAGTATATAGTATATAGAGTATATAGTAGTATATAGAGTATATATTAGAGTATATAGTATAGTATAATATATGTAATTATATTGTAGTAAAAAAACCTCGTTAAATATATATCTGTATTGAAATATAAATTTAACGCTTTAAAACAAAATTATAATTTTGTAACGTTTAAAATAAAAATATTCTAGTTAGTTTTTTAATTTATCTATTCCTTTATTTAGCAACAAAATTTAAATTATTTAATATTATAAAAAAAAGATAATAAATAGAATGTTTGACAAACAAAATTAAAAAAAATTAACAAAATTTAAATATATTTTATTATATTTTATATTATATTATATTTTATTATATTATATTTTTTTTTATTGAATTTTTTTTATTGAAAATATATTAAAAAAAGTTTCAATTGAAAATTTCAAATTAATTTTTATAATATATAATTAGTTTTTTTTATAGAAGTCTTACCAAAAATCTTCATTGTATTTGATCGCACTACTTACTATACTACTTATTTTTCTGTCGTTGAAGTAAATTTCTGAAATATCAAACAAATATTAAATAGTCATAGAAGGAAACCAATTTAGGAAATAGATGACAGTTGCTTTAGATTCTATAAGCAAGTTTTCTTTGCTATTAAGTTTTCTTTCTTTACTGTTCCTATATTTAGATATGCACTTAGCGCATCTCAAATGTTGGAACAGGTATACCTTGTGTGAATGACCGAATACGTATGATAGGACGATGCGTGTTCTCCGTTTGACGATGGTAGGATTCTGGTATGGAAAAGAAGAGAGATAGAGGGGTAACAGAACAAGCGGGAAGAAGTAAGCAGATTTAACACGAGGACAACGAAGCAAATAGTAGAATCAGGGCCGTAGCATTCTATCGATTATTGTCTTATTACTATTTATATATTTTCAATAATTAATCCTTAGTAATATTATATAATGTAAATTTTATATATCGGTATATCTAGCATTTTTTAAGTTTTATTTATCTTGTTACCTTATTTTATTACAATTTGATATATTATTATATTATCTTATTTATATTCTATTAATTTGATTAATGTTTAAATTAAAGTAAAAGATTTTATTAAATTATTTTTTTCTTTTTATTAGCAAATAAAATACTGATTTTAGAGAACTACATTATTATTATTGTTATATGTACATATATTTTGCGTATATTATAATATGCTGTTAACAATTTTTTGTTTACATATATATAGATTTATTATAGATGTATTTATTATAATGTTTTGTAATATATGTGAAATATTTTGCTTTCAAAATATTAATAATATATTGTTTAATTTTATTTTTATATAATGTTTCGAGAAAGCTTCAGGAAATGTTAAAAGAAATTAAAAAGTATCGAATAATGTATCTAATAATGTAAATTATCATGAGAATGAATATATATATTTTAAATTTAAATAACTTCCTTCCTGCAAGTAAAATAATATATTGATGTTCGCATTTCCTTTCTACACAACATTGAAAACAATATCTCTCAGCATTTTCTCACAATTTACCGCTGTATAGAAACCATCATGCCATTTTATCAAAATGTATCTAAAATTGAGAAAATAAATACTATAAAAAAAATATTTTCTTATTTTATTGAAATATTATACTTATAATCAAATATAATTCTAATATTGTAAAAAGATTTATATAAAAACGTATCTTTACTTTAAATTTTTTATTAAATATAATATAATTAAACACATATATAAGAAATTTGAACTTTATTAATTCAAGATATTTCTATAACAATTTTTTTTTTATCTTTGTTATAAATATTGAAAATTTATGAATATTTCTTTTGATTGTCTAATTTTAAATATTATAAAAACAATATATTTTATTAATAATATTTTATTAATAATAATTTAAGTAAACATATTTATGAATAGTAATGTTTTCTTTTTTACTACATTTAAGATATTTCATTAAATGCGAAAATGTATAAATGCAAGAAACAAAATTTTATGATTATAATATATATTGGAAGAAAAATGTCAAAGCAACTAGGTTTTATCGACGGCACTGAGAGCTCAGGTGGCGGTAGTAGTGGGGAGGATAGAGACCGAGGGTGTTGGGTCGTTCGGTTGGTGCGCGCGGAACAGTGACGATTCGACTGGTCAAGCGGTTGGGGTTTATGAGCATTGCTGATACGTCGGTGATAAGAGAACGCGTGCGTTTTGTTTCAATAACAACATTCTGCATTTATAAGCGTTCTCGAATGCTGTTTTACGATCTCACATTTGGAATTTGGACAGAGATTTGTTCGTCTTATAAAGAAAGAGTTGTTTCAAAGCGTATTTAATGTCGTGACGCTGTTATCGAACGATTTCGAAGTGCACATGTGTCATGGATGTCAAGAAGTAGGCGTCGTCTGTGCTAAATGCCAAAATCAAATATAACATGACATCCCGCGAAACGACGGAATGTAACATCATAGTGTATAAGTTAGCGAAAAAACGTGTTGCAGAAAAAGGAGTAGAGAATCAATGTTACATACGCTATTCAGGGTGCGCTGAATAATTGATTTCCTGAAACAAAGTACAAATATCTTATAGACGCTATCTGAAGCTGTCGCTAAATGAATCTAGAGTTAGAGATGTTACCTTCGAACACGCTCGAGGTAGAAGTCGGGAGTTCATCGTCTCCAAGAGGATATGATACGACAAGTAAAAGTTTCCTCCTGGAGACGATGCCCGGTGACTTGCATACCGAAACAGCAGCTTGCCGTTTCTTAGAGGGAGAGGTCGTTGCTCGATGTCAGGAAGAAAGCAATGAGACGACTAAAACTATACCAGAATCAGAATATTCGAAAAAGAAGATTGAATCAGCTGGTAGTAGCAGATCCATCAGTGATCACCCGTGTCAAAGTTTTTCGAAGGTTTCCACATCTCTGCAAAGCCTCGTACGTCGAAAAAGTCGTAAACACGGCGCATCCTCATTACCTTTAGACGTAGAACTCTCGACGTATTCTCTGCATCCTAGTTGTCTTATTGAACCACCGAAAGAAAGCAATGTTAATGGATATAGAAACGACGAAGAAGCCGTTTGTACCACACGTACATCCACGCTTATTTACGCTTCTTCCATGCAATTATCATCTAGGGGTGACAACAATGTGCAGGATACTACCTCGCTGACGAACAACGTCGCGACTGTCACTACGACCGCTGGCACTAATAACCTTACTTCTTCGGTCAGTGGAAGTCGTCTCAGTAATACCGCTACGTCTTTGATAAGGACTACCAGCGTGATCACGGCAGGACCGTCCACGTCTTCCTGGAACAATTCCGCGGAGGAGGAGTTGGATTACGTTGTTGATCCGGTTCAAGGAAACGCTTATTACAAGGGACAACTTCTTGGGAAGGTAAGAAACAGACAAAAAAAAAAAGACAAGCACTTATTGATTTTTTTTTCTCTAATTTTAGAATATAACTTTTTCGTCATATTTTACTTCTTTATTTTTTCTTTTGATTTTATAATCTTATAACGATAATACATTAAAGTTAATTATTTATAACTTTAAGATTATATTTAATGAAAAATGGCCAAATAGTTAATTTATATTCAATAAGATAATAAAATAATTCATCTTGTAATATGAAATTAAAATTATGTTTCGATATATTCGATATATAAATATATATCTAATTCTGTTTTATTTTTAATTTATATCACGAGTGATTTGATATTTTAACACTTAATAATTAATATCAAAATAAATTCTTTTATTTCTAATTATAATTATTTTTTATTTTATTTTTTAGAAAAGTGATTATAATTAAAAAAATTTTATATAATATCTTGATGTATATTAATATCTTCTATTATATAATATATTAAGTTATGATATCGTTAATAATTTTTTAATATAATTAAATCGTATATAAAAATTATAATAGAAAAAATTAATATTTTCGAAGATATGTATTTTATATTTTATGAAAAGATATTAAGATATAAAAATTATATAGAATGTAAATATATAATATCAATTATTCATCTTCCAATCTAAAAAAAAAATCTATATTTTATAAATACATATGTATATCATTATATAAAACACTCCAATTAATATAATAATATATATTTCAGTTTTGATGAAATTAGAAAAAAGATATATTTTGTAATATTTTATAAATTATTATACTGTAGCATTAATTTTCTCTGCAAAAATATTGAAATGTTCACAAGATATAATTATTCGATTATAAAATACGATTGAAAATTCAATATTCTATCTATTATATTTTTTTTAAACTTACTATGATTACAATATTTCAATATTATATAATTCTTAAAATTTTCCATTATGTTATTTAATTGTTTAGCATGTTAACATTAGATTATCGCATTTTTTTTTTACATTATTTATATGAATTTCACATTCTTATATATATTATTATTTTATCTTATTTGAATCTAATTTATTTTATATTTAACTAATTCTTTTTAAAATTAATTATTAATAATTATGATGTAATGTAAAACGCATATTATCTAATTTTTTAATATTCCTAAAACAATAATTATTTTCCTTTTATTATTATTATATTATTAAAATATTTATTTTATTTTATCTTATAAATTTTATTTACAAAGAAAGATTACTTTAAGAAAAATTACGCGAGAAATTTTGTTTGATAAAAAAAAAAATAAATTTTGCAAACATGCAAATTATAAATTTTGCATAATGAACCTTATATTTTGGAAATAGAGATTTTTCAAATCAAGTTTTTTCTTCTGATATTTAAATCTTTTTTTTGTTAATGTGCTAAAAATTAATAAGGTTCATTATGCAAAATTTGTTAGAGATCCCGTTTTTCGAAAGGAGAATAACATCTTGCAGTATGAATACTGTAAGATTATTAAAGTATTAACATATATGTGTACATTCACGTTCGAAAATCTCTAAAAATTTAAAAATGTTTTTTATTTAAAAAAAATTTTATTATTTGCTATATTATGAATTTTAATTTTATGCAAAATTTAAATCTGCAATAATATATAGAATTTTTCCAAAACAATTGATTCTCAATTATGATATCATATCAAATTTATTGTAGATATAAAACTCGTATAATTTTTTTTCGAATATATAATTATACAGTTTAAAAATAGATATTAGAAGAATATAGTGATAAAAATTTTCTTAAAAATTTTTGTTTGATATAAATATGCAAGACACATGGAAAAATCCATTCAATGAATCGAAAAGATAACGTGTCATTGTTGGATTAATAAAATATTTATTATATTATATTTTTTTTATCGTTATGTAACATCAAATTAATATATAATTAATGTATAATTATTTATTTCCAATTTTGAAGCAAATAAACATATTATAGTATATATTATAAAGCAAAATTTTAAATTATTAAATATTGTAAAAAATATTCTCAGTTGAAATTATATTTAAAATATGAGAAAAATGATGAAAATGATGATGATTTTACACGCTCAAAGAGATTTTTCGAAAAACTATCGAAAAAATAAAAATTTGCTCTATATAAACTCATTATATTCTGTATATATACAGATAAACTTTAAAATTAAAATTAGAATTTTTTGAATTTAATTGAATTTCTTTATTAAATAATGTAGTGTAGACTTTTTTGATCAATTGTGAGTATATACATTGAGTATAATAATTATTTAATTATTTTTTATAATTTTAAAAAAAATGAGAGATCATTAAAGATAATTTAAAGAAATAAAAATAAATAATATTATACATATAGTTTGTAAACAAAATAAGACGTAGATGTTTAAAAACAGCTAGGAAATTGTATGATTTCACGTCAAAATATACGTGTATATATATTTTGAACCTTGACATTGTTTAATAACACTGTAATGTGTAACATTCGTTGTTAGTCACTCATTTAAATTGATATGTGGTTTGATATTATGATTAGTAGTTATTTACGTCTGCTACTTGCTCTAATTATTATGAAAGTTTTACGTTCAACATTTATAGTTTTTCTTTTATCAAATGACATACATTTATAGATTTAAGAGATTAATTTTAAATAATCTTGAAATTGTTTATTTATATTTAACAAGAAGGAAGAAAGATAGAAGACATATTTTTTTATAATTTATAAATATTGCTTTCAAAATTCAAAATGTAATTGCAATTAATATTAAATACGTGAGTAATATTTGATTGATAATAAATTTACATTAGTAATTTACATTATTTTAATAAATACTTTTCATGATTATTCATGTCATTAAAAATTAATATTTTTGAAAATATTTTTTTTCTTTGACAAAAGTTTTGAATATGAAATAAAACTTTGATTGACTATATCTAATCATTATCGTTATTTTTTATGTTTATTATTAACATATCATTTAATGATATTTCCATTTTATTGAATATTAATTTTAAAAATATTTTTAAAGAAAATGTTTCATTATACTTAGTTGTGTGATTCTAATTGATTTTGTTCGATAATTTATAGCAGTAAGCAATATGGCTCGTTTCTCGAACTTTAATCGAATTCTTAATGTTTAAAAGAAGAAAATATAGGAAGTGAATCACTTGCTCCTAGTTTTCGCATTCCAAGAATTCTAATGTGAAACGTACGGGGAACATTTTGTCATCATAGCGGAGTCTGTTTCTGAGAAATGTAACAAACAAAGAACCGTGGGAAAAGAAGATATCTATCAATTTGAGATAATTGTCTGGTTTTTTATGACATATATCAAAGAAATTTAATTAATTTAATTGTGAAATTCATCGATGTTTTTGGTCTTGAAATTATCTCTAAATATAAAAATCATATATATCATATAGTAAATACGATTAATCAATAATGACTTACTAATATTTGTCCTTAGTTTGATTCAATTTTCTGATTCTATTATTATATCTATAAAATTTTTTCACCTGATTATATAAAATAAAATAGATAATTTAATTAAATAATTTAATATATTTTAGTTAATGAAAATTCATTTCACACATTGTTATTTTTATCTTTAGATGTACGTTTTAAATACGTTAATTAAATCAATATACAATTAGATAAATTATATAATTTAAAAGTGAAAACTTAAAACTGATTCCTGATTTCATCCACGATAAACGCAAAATAATATAAAACCGATGGATTGTTTATAAATTTTTACTTTAATTAAAATTTATGATGACGTTTTTAATAAAATTAATAATTAGACAAATATTTATTATATTATACTTTCAAATTTAAAATTCAGTTTCTCTTGATCTATGAGAATTACAACATATACATAAAAACAGCAAATTCCTATTTTAATTACATTTATGATTCGATTATAGTGTATTTATCATAATAAAATTATGCCCCTTTGTAAATTTATTACACATAATGGTGATTATGATATAATTTACATAGAATACATATAATTTTATCATATTAACTTTGAAAACGTTTCAGGAACTTATACTTTAGAAAACATTAAAGCAAGTTAGAATTTAAGCCTCTTAATAAATGGGCAGTTAAAATAGAATTGTCACGTTCATTTAGCATGCACAACACACTTGTGAAGTAAATCTCGTAAGATTTGAGCTTGTTAAAATATTTAGTCCAGACAATAGATATCAAATGAATATGAAACCATTATTCAAAGCAAAAAATATTATTAACTTTTTAACATATTCCATCTATAAAGCATCGAGAAATGATAAATTAATATAATGTATTTCTTTATAATAACGCCGAATTGATTATTTTTTAAATTGAATATTTTATATTGAATAATTTTTTATATTGAAATATTTACTAAAGTTAATAGAGATATAAAATTTATTTATTTAATGCACAATAAGCAATAAATTAAATAATGGTAATGAATAAATATCGTAAAGATATTTGTAGGACAATGTAGAAATTATTTAAATTTGTTTATTTATGTTTATACTCGTAATAAAATCAATCGAATACAATGGCTTGTTATTAAGAGTAAATTGTTACGCTCGAATATTTTTGCGTTATTAAATTTCACGCTATTTAATTTATCGCCTGTATGCAATAAAAATAAACTTGAAATATTATTTTGACATTAATTACAACGAAATAAAAGTAACAATTTTTTTGTTTATTACCATTAAAAATGGATTAAATAAAATTTTTATTAACTATGGAGATTGTTTTTTTTTAATTAGAAACAACCAATTTAATAATTATTACAAATATAATACAAATATAATATGTAAAGAATATAAACGTCGCATACTATAATTAATAATCTCTCATGTATCATGTAGCATACATATATAGATATAAAATATTTCAAACATTCTAAGATTGTGCAAAAAGGTTAAAAATTATCTTATCTTTGTAAACACGAAAATTTGTATAACATTCTATTGCT